ATTAAAAAGTTTAAAAGTCCCTTATTTTGTATGCTCATATACTATGGGGTTAATTTCTCTTTGTATTCCTTAAATTATTATTATTATTATTATTATTTTATTTCATCCCTAAATTACCAATTTCATTTATTATTAGTCTTCAAAATTTCTAATTTATGTTCATGTAATTCAATTGGAGACGATTATGCAAATTAAGCTCTGTTTGGCAGGTGGCTATTAGACCTCAAATGAAACAAGTTGCTATTAGACCTCAAATGTCAAAAAGTCAATAAAAAGTTTAAAAGACAAATAACATTTGACTCATACAAAAAAAAATTAAAGATTCTTTCTAATTTTTTGTATAAAGTTAAATATTCATTCACATTCATATACTTTTTTATAGTTTTTTTTTTATTTTTTTTTATTTTTTTTGTAAAAAGTTAAAAAGTCATTTTCAAACATATTTATTTTTTTCAATTTATATTTTAGTTAAAAATTTATAAAGTTACTAAAAATGTCACTTTCCAAACGGATTCTGAATAACTGTTGAAGTCTAATTTACACTGTATTTGGTTGGGGGATTTGGGAAGGAATTTGAAAAATAAAAAGAAAAATGTAGGTGAAATGTGAATAAAATATACCTATATTTTTCACACACATTTTTCCTTTCTCTTTCCAAATCTCTCAACCAAACACAACATTAATAAAAAAAACAATGCTACTTGAGATTTGAACTTAAAACCATACCACAAAACACTTATTTTTTTAGTATCATTTTGAACAAGTTACACCTCATAGCCAATTTAATATTTGATTATATGATTAAAGTTGTTCAAATTATAAAATGACATTTTTTTTTCCAACCAAAAAAGGGGTTCATTTGGTATCATTTTTGAAATTGTGTTCTATTCTTGAAAAAAAAAATGTCAAAATAATACCTATAAAATATGTATGAAATTATTTTAGCCACATTTTTTTCCTTCAAAATAACCAATTTTTATGAAATAATTTTAAATATGCTAAGAGTTCTACCAAAATAGAAATGAATTAAAAAATGAAATTGATACAAAACGTTGGGTTTTGAATTTTTTTGATTTTCTACTTAAATGCATTCAAATAACAAACTTCTTATTTGCATGAATTATGAAACTTAATCAATTTATGAATTTGTTAAGAAATGTGTGCATAGCACGGATAGAAAACTAGTTATTGTTGAGAGCATTATCAAATAATACCTTAAAATTACTGAATAATTATTTAATTTGGTATTGATCTATCAGGTAATGCATCATTTCAAATTGAGAAATGTTAGGGATCATGAAATTTTTTTCATGAAAATGATCATGAAATATTTATGATCCTTAGATTACCTTGATTAGTGTGTGGTGTTTTATTCTAAATATAATCCAAAGGTCACAAGTCTTTCATGATCATTTTCATGAAAGACTTTTCATGATACCTAGCATTGCTGTTTCAAATTGGCCACCTTGTAACATTACCCACCACCAAAATTTAATGTTAGCAACCTTATGAAGACAGCATAAGACAGTGATATATTATTGTCCTCTATGGTGGGGTGGATCGACAGGCATAGGCTTTCACATAATCAAGTAATAAAATGACATAGGACTACTATATGTCACTATATTAATTCACTATTATTTTTTGTTTATTTATTTATTTATTATTTTTGGAGAATATTATTTCAACATAAAAGCTTAAAATATTTTACCAAAATCTTGCACCCTAATGCTATGTTTGGTTGGGGGATTTAGGGAGGGATTTGGAAAGGGAAAGGGAAAAGGTGTGTGAAACTAGTTAAAATATAAGTATATTTTATTTACATTTCACCTAACTTTTCCCTTTCCCTTTCTAAATCCCTCCTCAAATCCTCCAACCAAACATAGCGTAAAGATTCTCATTCTTTCGTAATTTTGTAACTCATTTCCCACTAGAATAATATATATATATATATATATATTTTCATCTCTTACATGTATTTATATGTATGATAAATGTTATATGTACATAAATGACTCATCATAGTTAAATAAAAATAGGGTAAATTACACTGACCTCTCTTAAAGTTTATTAAAATAGCATAAATCTCTATTGAAGTTTCTAAAATAACTTAGACTTTCCATGAAGTTTAGTTTTCAATTACACTGAACTCCCTCGAGGTTTAATCAAATTACAAAAATTTCCCTTGAGGTTTCTGAAATGATAGAAATCTCCATTCAATTTAGTATTCAATTATACTGGCCTCCCCCAAGGTTTAATGAAATTGCAAAAGCCTCCATTGAGGTTTAATTTTTTTATTACAAATTCCCTTTCTTGTTACTTTATCATAAAAAAATAATATAAAATGTTGAGATTGTCAAATAATTTAATTACATTTCTAATTTTAACTTTTAAAAGTGTGTCCAATTACAACTAAATAAAAAATTCCAATTCCTATTTTTTCTCTTTGTTATGCGTATAGCTACTATTGATTGCGTGTGCTTCCTTTTTTCGAAAACTAAAGGCATAACAAAGAGAAAAAATAAAAAATTTAATATTTTTGTAATTAAACATAATTTTAAATTGTAAAATTAAAAATGTAATTAAATTATTTGATAATCTCAACATTTTTTAATGTCAATATCAACAACAACAAAAAAGAAAAAAAGAAAAAAATTTATTATTTTCTTTCTTTTCATTCTGGTAGAGAGGCAACCCTGGCAATGGTGTCTTTCACTTTCTATTTTTTATGTTTATATTTTCAGTAATTTTATCTAAAAAATAAAGAAAACTAACGTGGCCTAGACACATGAGATGCCATGTGTGCGGGTAAACAAATCTCGTAGCTTTAGCAGGTAGCTGTAGGATTTCTCCAAATGTAAAGATGTTAAAATGTCACCTTAAAATAAATTTGACATTTCTAAATTTGAAGATGTTGAAAATGATCACAATTTAAGAGTAGAATGATATTGATGGCACTTTTCATCAATAGATTTTTAGTACAAAAGGGCCATATGTAATTTTGAGCCACATGAAAGACAAAAATTGGTTTATTTCGACATTGAGTTCACGAGTCCACAACCCAATTAGTTTTCTCATACTTTTTAAGGTCTCGTTCAGATAATCAAGTCCCTAATGAAACTCAAGTTTCCATGTAACTTGACACATCGACAAAGTAGGCCCAAGAGAGGCTTATCTTAGAACTTTATTCACTTGGAATTAGCAAATCAACAAACTCCACCAACCATAGCCCTTAAAAGGAAAAAGATTGGTAGCTCGAGAAATTGGCTCGAAAGAGAAGAGAGGAGAGGTCGTCGCAGCTCCCGCCGTCGTCGCAGCTCCCCTCCACTTCTACTTCTTCCTCCTCTTTCCCCCTCCTCCCGATCTGCAGACCCACCCTTCTTCTTCTTCTCCACCCTTCTTTTTCTTCTTCCTTTTGCAACAAAAACACAGGAAAAAAGAAAAAGAAAAAAAAAAGACACCAAAACGACGTCGTTTTGGTGTCGAGCCAAATTTGAGCTACCGAGTTTCGAGCTACGTGGCGGGGTCGCCCTTAAAATAGTTTGGGTCAACTCAGGAAATAAGCCTAAGGTCTTCTATGACTTGGCACTTAATTTAACTTGGCGTAAAGTGACCCATTTCGGCAACAACCGCTTTGATCAGTTTCACCCCTCTTATGTGATTAGGCTTAGCTTATAATATAAAGCCCAAGACCCCTAGGGTGGCTTGGCACATTCAAATGGTTTCAAAATATATAGTATAATTCATTTTGGACATTCTACATCAGCAAACAGCTAAAAAATGTCATGGTCAATTTCTACAGCAAAGCCTAAGCACCTCAAAGGTTTGACATATCAACAAGGTGCCTAAGAATGCTAAATAAACAGCCCAAGAACTTATCAGAATGAAGAAATGTCTGCTTGTACAAATCAGTTTATCAGATCATGCCAGGTGTCTGGGCATACCCCAAACATCTTCCTCCGAAACAAATTATCATACAATGCCTAATCATAACAGTAAGGAGTGTCTTGATTTGTTGCAAAATTGCGCTTAGGAGCCACGAATGACTGTATGATAGTTGTTCCTTTCAAACTATATTGCAAAATCGATTGCGAGATCCCTAATCAAATGGTGGAGGTTAAATTAATGGTTAAGACTGACATAATGACTAAGATGTTTTCTTGTAGATGTGATGACTTGGATTTGAATCTTATGCTGTCTTAAATCGTTTTCTATTTAAGTAAAAATATTTAAATTATAAGTTATTGAAAATTAGTTTGTGGGTCTCATATATTTCTTTAGTAATACAAAAAGAAACTTATATGAATAGTTTTAAAATTTTATGTAGTTATTATACTATTGTCTTTCAACTTTAAATCTTTTCTAATATTTTATTAAATTAGAGAGAAATTTGTGGGACATGAAATTCACAAACTCAAAATCCGAACACGACTTAAACCTTTACCATTTTCCGCCGAATTTGAAAAATAAAGGAACCAAAAGGGCAATGATTAGATTAAGAGATAAAGAGTAAAGGTTGTGGCTTGTGTTAGTGTGTAATCAGACTGGACCTTATTGTTGGGTTCTGTGGGTCCACCATAGAGCTTGTATTAATAATCTGAACCGTTGAATATGTAGGGCTCGTCGTCTATTTCTTCCTTTTGAAAAATCACGTTGATCAGATATCGATAATCACTTGATCAGATTACATTTCTGTCAACATTCAATATGATTTTGAAAAAAAAAAATTATTAACAGAAATGTGATCTGATCAAGCAACAATTGATATTCGATCAAAATAATTTTTTGAAAAGATGAAATACTCGATGAACTCTATACACTGAACAATTCGGATTATCAATGTGGACTAGGTGGTAAATCCACAAAGGCCCAACAATACGATCTAATTTAAAACCGGATGGAAGACCAGCCTTACCCAAGAGTAAAATATGTCAAACCAATTCCTTTAGTTCCTGCTTTTTTCCTTCTCTATCTTGTTCTTTAGTGAGGGGACTAAAGACTTTTTATATGAACAAAGTTACAAACCATTCCTTTCTTTGCGCCCCTTAACCAGCTTAAATTTAGCAAAATGGTTGGAAAATGCTCCGGTGTGCCATGCATACCATATATAATTTTGTATAAAATTATGTAAGTTTTTATAAATTTATTTAAATAATCTCACAAAAATAGGTACGTTCAATACAAATTCGCGTAAGATCATAAAAATTTATGCAATTATGTAAATTTGTATTCAATTTACGTATTTTTTGTAAAATTACTTGTGAAAATTTGTGTAAAGTTGCATTGCACACCGAAATTTTTTCCGAATTTTTGGCTTAAAGAAAAAGGTTGAAGTCATGACCCACAAAAGAAAGAGGCCCATTGCTTTGAACACCACCTGTTTGACAAAAATGGCCAAAGAACTCTACCAACACCAACATCTCCAACTGGGTCTTTGTCTCCCTGCTCACCTCCTTCATTAACCTCACAGTCCTCTCTCTCTCTCTCTCTCTCTCTCTCTCTCTCTAATATTTCCACTTCCCTCTCTTGGTTTCTTCTCTGGCCATGGACAAGCAGAACCAGCAGCAGTTGTCACTAGCCAAGTGTTCGCGGCAGCAATACAATGAATGGTTTGTTCCTTATACTCTCTGTGTCTTTGTGCTATGTTGTAGTTCAATTTCAGATCTTTTTTCTTTTCTTGTTTTTTAAAGTTTTTTCATAAGATGGTGTGCTTTGATTCAGTTGGTTATGCTTGTTGTCTAGTAGTTTTGGCTTTTCTCAGCTCTGTACTTTGTACATGAGCTAACATTTTCCTCCTTTTAATTCTAAGCAGGCTAGGTGGGTTTTTTTTCCTTTTTTTTTTTTTTTTCCTTTTTGTTAGTACTTCATTTCTCTTTATTCTTTTTTGTGTTTCTTAGTTATTTTTTATGTTGGGGGGTACACTCTGCCGAAATAAGATTTATTGAATTTTATTAAACGAGGTAGATAAAACTTTCACATTATGCCTCTGTCCATGGTGCAAAGGCACTTAAAGATTTAAATTCTTGTTATTTGAGATTCAAATGTTTTGTTCTTATTTATTTCTTTGTTCATAGACACACCTATGTCAGCTGGAATATGTTTGGAATGTTAGATTCCATGCCAACTTATTTTCATATCATCTAATGAATGTGCTAAAATAGAATATTAAACATTCTCTCTTAAATGTAAAACTTAAAATAAAAACAAAAACAAAAACAAAAAAAAAGAATCTAGATGCTTTTTGTCAATGTCACTGCCTTTGGTTTTCCGTTGGTCCTTCGTTAGAAGCATCCTACTACCCTTTGTGTAATTAGTAACCTAAGCCCTTTCTTTTATTTTTATGTTGTATTTATTTTTTGAAGGTAGGGGTAAGTTCTAAGAAGTATGGATATGGACATGTGACATGAAAACAACATGATATGAACATGTTGACACGACAATTTTCAATAATTTAGGACACGAACGTGACAACAAATAAATATGTATTTCTATATCTACATGAAAATAATAACAATTTCTTCATAATTTTTATTTACAAATAGATTTATATTTTATTGTATCAAAATAGTAAGAATTATTTTTCACATCCCATATTTGGAAAAGAAGTGTGAACAAAAAATCCCAATATCTATATTTAAATTATATATATATATGTATGTATTTATATAAACAATTCAAAAGCCCAAAGGATGAGCGATTAATAGTTGTAAATTCACATTATTTTGATTTTATTATTGAATCCCAAATTATTTACTCAAACTTGCATTATGTTTCATGTGTGTCTAAACACTGAACTGTCTCCCAAGTATCTGAAGTAGTTTGTTCTAAAAAATTTAAAAATAATAGGACACATTTGGACATGTGTCCAACATGTACATGACACTGTCTTAGGAGTGTCTGTGCTTCTTAGGTAATTTATTAGGTCAAACTGTCACAGTTGCATGTGTTACAATTACTTAAAAGTTTACGATAATATAATAATGTAGAAACTCTTTTCAAACTTTATATGTAGAGTGAGATGGATTGATTTCACCATTAGTGGGATTACTTTGCTTTGATTTGTATCCCTAGCTTATGATTTTCGTTATACTTGAACATCAATTGATTAAAAGGTATTGTATTCATGTTGATCACATATTAGAATAAGATTACCCCCAAACAACATAATGCGTAAAAACAATTATAACCTGTCTTGTTTGCCCTATTTTGAAAATTTATTTGAATCCTTGATTACAAACTCCAATGATTGTAAACCTCCAGAACATGGGAACTTTTTTTTTCAAATTGGATTATGGCTATATTTTATTACTAAAAAACTGTAGGCAAAGAAAATAAATTATTTTTTTTTTCTGAAACTTCAGATATTTCTTTCATGGATAATATTTACTTTTAGTTGTTGCTATTAGGTGTCATACCAAAAGCCTAGCACTGCTTTTCTGATCTTCAAGTATGTCCATTGTTGTACAATTTATTTCTATTTTTTGAAATTTTGATTCTAATTGGGTGTTGATCCTTTGCAGGATATTCAGGGATGTTCCTAGTGATATTACAATAGAAGTGAATGGAGGAAGATTTGCCTTACATAAAGTAAGTTTTATCATTCAAAATAATGGAATTTATTCTTCCACTATGGAAAAAGTTGTGTGTGTCTCTGCCTATGTATGCACGGGTCTGTATGTGTTTGTTTGACAATTGGTAAGAACTAACAAATTTTGCATTTCTAGAATTCCATTGTCTTATTCTTTGTCAAGTAACGGAATTTTATAATCTACAAATGACCCCATGTATGATGTATATCTTTTCTCATTATGGTTATGTCCTCATATCTAACCATGCACCTTCGACTCCCACCCCAATAGATTTGGATGAAAACGAATGTTTATGGCTTCTATGCCCCACTTACTTGCCAAATTAAATTATTTTTGTTGATTTCTTTCATGGACCTAATGAGATTTTAAATGTGAAAAAAAACCACTACCTTGAATAATTCAGATTTCAGGTATCACTGGGAGAAATAGTATGAATATGATGGAAATAATAAAGTTAAGTGGCATAAGAAAAGTTTAATTTTACTAGGGAAAATGCCACTCAACCCCAATGCGACTTCTTGGCCTTTTGGAGAGTGCCAATGTACTTCTGTCGATAGATAACCAATGGATAAGAGAGAGATGCAATACAACTAAAAAATGTGTTAAATTACAATTCTGGTTTATTTTCTTTCCTTTTTTCAACTGAAATTTTATTGTTTACTTTAGGTTTCAATATGAATAAATTTGATCATTCTCGGGAATTTTTTAACAAAATGGTTGTGTTTAAGCATGTTGTGATATGGTTGCCATTTATTTATTTCAAAACAGAAGAAATTGGTTTATTTATGCAATTTGGTCAGATAGTGTATTCATATATAGCTTGATAACAACATACGAACATCTTAATTTTATATTCAGTTCCCTCTAGTCTCAAGGAGTGGACAAATCAGAAAGTTGGTGGCAGAACACAGAGATTCCGATATTTCCAGGATAGAGTTTCTCAGCCTACCTGGGGGTGCTGAATCATTTGAGCTGGCTGCCAAATTCTGCTATGGTTTCAACTTTGAGATCACATCTTCAAATGTTGCTCAGCTATGTTGTGTGTCTGATTACCTCAAGATGACAGAAGAGTTTTCAAAAAATAATCTCAGTTCCCGTGCTGAAGAATATCTTGGCAGTATTGTCTGCAAAAGCCTTGAAATGTGTGTTGAGGTGTTGCAACAATGTGAAAATCTACTCCCTCTTGCCGATGAGCTAAATATAGTTAGCCGATCCATTGATGCAATAGCTTCCAAAGCTTGTGTAGAGCAAATTGCTTCAAGCTTTTCGTGCCTAGAATATAGCAGCTCAGGAAGACTTCACTTGAATCGCCAAGCCAAATGTGATGATGGGGACTGGTGGATAGAAGATCTCTCTGTTCTGCGGGTTGACTTTTATCAAAAAGTCATAACCGCTATGAAATGCCGTGGGGTCCGACCTGAGAGTATAGGGGCATCACTCATGAATTATGCTCAAAAAGAGTTGACTAAAAGACCTAGCTTGTGGAACCCATCTGGCCAGCCAAAGGTTGATGTGGTTGCTGTTTCAAATGGGCATGAAAGACTTGTGGTTGAGACAATTGTTAGCCTTTTGCCTGTTGAGAAACTTGCCGTTCCCATCAGCTTTCTGTTTGGGGTTCTACGAAGTGCTGTGATGCTTGATTGTACAGTTGCTTGTAGGCTTGATCTTGAAAGGAGAATTGGGTCCCAGTTGGATACAGCTACTCTTGACGATCTTTTGATCCCCTCCTTCCGCCATGCTGGCGATACTTTATTTGATGTTGACATGGTCCATAGAATCCTGATTAATTTCTCTCAGCAAGATGATAGCGAAGATGATATGGAAGATGGCTCAGTCTTTGAATCTGATAGTCCTTCCTCACCCTCTCAATCTGCATTGTTCAGAGTTTCAAAATTAGTGGACAACTACCTCTCTGAAATCGCACCTGATGTAAACCTCAAGCTCAACAAGTTCATAGCAATTGCAGATATCTTGCCAGCACATGCCCGTACAATTCATGATGGGTTGTATCGAGCAATTGATATTTATCTCAAAGTATGTACTTCATATCTTTTCTTGTGAGATATTTCTTTGTATGTCTTTTTTTTGCTATTTGTTCTGAGCTAATTTTGGAGGAGGGATAGGAGATTACTGGTTAAAATGAACAATATTACCAAGAAAGTGTTATTGTGTTTGTTTCTTCAATTTTATTAATTTTCTTTTCTACTTGAGCAATTGCATAATCATCTTCTGGCTCCAATCCCATAACTGCAACAAGATTAAAGAACTCCAAAAAGGGGGGGGAGAGAGAGAGAGAAATCATTGATTCTTCTTAGCCCTCTTCATGATATTGATCAACAAAACTTATTTGAAATTTGTTTGTTGATGAGCTTAATTGTCATTGTTTGTCCCTATGTACAAGTACAAGAACAACCAGAATCAGAAATGGGATAATAAGTAACAATCTTTGTTTTATTTTTTGTCTGATTCATTTTGTGATGCATAATGACAGGCTCATCAGGGTTTATCAGATCCAGACATGAAGAAGCTCAGCAAACTGATTGACTTGCAAAAGCTCTCTGAAGAAGCAGGCGCACATGCTGCACAAAATGAACGCCTTCCTCTCCAATCAATTGTTCAAGTGCTTTATTTTGAGCAGTTAAGGCTCCGGAATGCAATGCACTGCTCTAACCCTGATGATGATGACCACAAGCCAATGCACCAGTCCTGGCGGGTCAGCAGTGGTGCACTTAGTGCTTCAATGTCTCCCCGGGACAACTATGCATCACTGAGGAGAGAAAACCAAGAGCTAAAGCTTGAGCTTGCTCGGTTAAGGATGAGACTAAATGATCTAGAGAAAGAACATGTTTGTATGAAGAGGGATATGGAAAAGTCTAGTTCTCACAAATTCATAAGTTCTTTTCCAAAAAAGATTGGCAAGCTCAACTTTTTTGGTCATAGTTCTTCAAGGGAATCAAGTTCTCCTTCAAAGCATACACAAACAGATCCAAAGGTAATTGAAAGCACATGAACAAGAATATTAGGTAATTCACGTCACTTGGATTTTATTTTTTTACTGCTTTTATTGCATAACTGGAAGTAATGATCTCAGTTGCCTTTCTTTGTTCATTCTTTATTTCCTTTCTTTCTTTATCTTTTTGATTCTCTTCCTCCCACCCAGTAAATGAGTTGTGGTGCTTTGCATTATCAATAGGAAGCGATGGTTATTAGTGATAACAACTTTGGTGTAATTGTTACAAGATTTTATAGCGTAAACATGTGAGATTCCCTCATATATAGTGTATTTTACTGATGTCAGTTCATGTCAAAGAAGTGATTCAGACTTTTGTAGCTACTCATTATTCTCATTATTTCAAAAAATACAAGCCCAACATTTTTGAGCGGAAACTAAATCTTGACAAATAAATACAGCTGGTGGGATAGTAATGGCATGCTTAGAATAATCAACTCGATGGAAAGTTGTGTTTAAGGTTTGAAAATTTGGGAAATGCTAAGATCCACAAGTCTCAACAGATTTAAAAGTCTAGAAATTTGGTTGGAGGGTTGGCGATTTTCTGCTTCTTGTTGTGATTGGGAAGGCAAAGGTTACCCTAAGATTTTGGGACTTCCAAACGCTGTCATGCTTCCTTAGACAAGGTTTCAATACATTAACTTGTTCATGACATTTGATTTCAATATCATGATGGTTGACATTCGATTTCTGTGCTATTCAAGAGTGTTCTTGATTTTCATATGCAAATTCTTAGTAGATGTTAGTATAATGAAATTGTTTCCAAAGGCACCATAACTGAAAAGTCAACAAAGCTTAACACAACTAATAAACTAAGCCCAGGCCCAACAAGCACCACTAACTCCATACTAATACAACCAGTATACAACTAATAAACCGAGGGTGATTCTATTTACGCCCAAATAATAACTTAGTACTTTCAATTTAAATTTTAAAATTTTAATTTCTATTATATATTAACATAAATTTACTAATAAAAACAACATGCATTAAACCCTAAAATAAAATATAATTTTTTTTTTCTCATGGACACCCAAACCACTTATTATTGGCCTAGGAGAGACTTGCAGAGTAGTTGCAGTTCTTGGAACCTCAATCAAACTTTACAAGCCATGGATACTATCAAGGTCTGTGGATTCTATAAGCATATAATGCTCTTTTCGAAGTGTGTTGTACTCTATGGTCAAGTTCAAGAATTGAGGAAGCTCTTCACGGTGTATGTGATCCAATTGATTTTGAATATCATAGTACAGTTGAGGCATTGGGGAGCTAAACACTTTATTCCGCTGCATGTTTTGTGTTTTGATTTACAAAAACCGTGTTTTCAGCCTACAAGTTTCTGTATGTTGGCTGTCACTTTTAACTTGAGAAGCAGTTCCAGGTGAGGTGCAGAAAGTTAGGCCCGTGTGGGATAAAAGATTGGACCAAAATAGCCATATAGGAATCAAATAGGACGAAATATCACATTCAATCCATAACTATTTTATTTTTTTTCTCACAAAAGTCAAAAAAATCAAAAAGTCTATCCCGAACGAGGCTTTTTAACCAAACTAAAATAGTCAAAAAATTAAAAAGCCAACCCACATTCTAAACGGATCCTTAGGGCTGTTTTAGGAAGATGGTTAAAAGCTGACTTTTTAACTTTTTTTTAAGAGAGGAAGTGAGTTAAAAGCTTGGTTAGAATACACTATGAAAATTGGGAATTTGGATATATATATATATATATATATATTTGTTGTGTTTTCTCCGAAATTTAAGTTTGAAGAACTGTGCTGCTTAGATGAAAAAACTTGTTAGATGTTTATGATTATGTGAATAACTGTAATGAGAAATTTGTTTAAATTTTTTTTAAGGATTGTAATTTGAAGTTTTTGATTGGTTTATTATTTTGGGTGTATTTTAAAGGATAATTTGTGAAAAAACATAAGATGTATTGATAGTAAATTATAACTCTAAATAATTTAATAGAATGCACGACGTACTTAATAATTTTTTGGGTGTAAATAGAATCCCCCTGTTTACCAAGCCCAGCAACTATAACTAGTTCTAACTACATATCAACCCCCATGATGAGGGGGAAATAAATTACCACAAATGGTATCAAACTCTTTTCCATAAAAGTTGAACCTGAAATCTCACACCACAAAAGTGTTGCACAACCACTAGGTCAAATGTCCTAGTTAAGTTAAAGTTCTTTAACTAATACATAAATTTTAGTTGTCTTAAATTAATACAAAATATTTTGTAGCTAAATAAAAAGAAAAAAAATCTCATTTTTATAATTGAAATTAATAACTATTCATTTACCACTTTAGACTTGTTTAGAAACATTAAGAAATGAGTGAAATTGTGAAGTGTTAGGCTCATAGATCAAATTATTTTGAAAAAATTGAGACAAATATTTATTTATAAATTTATAAAGGTGTAAGTCAGCTAGGGATGCAAAGGAATTGAGCCAAGCCGAGCTTTACTGGGCTCGAGCTCGACTCGTTTGCTTATCAAGCTCATTTATTGAGTTCGACCTCGGCCAGATAACTAACTAGGCTCGAGTTTGGATTGGCTCGTTAATATTAATGAAACTCGAATTCGGCTTGATAAGATTTTTTTTATTAGTTATATTATTTAATACATAAATAATTTATTTATGCTATTATTTATATATTTATGTTATTTAATATGTAAATAATATGTTTATTATATAATTTAAATAAATATAAACAAGCCAAACTTAACTAGCAAAGCTTATTCAAATTCAAGTTCGGCTCGTTTACTAAACAAGTCGAGCCCTTAACAAGCCGAACTGAGCCAGCTCATGAGCAACTCAGTTAATTTGCAACCCTAAAGTCAATGGAACTTAATTGTGTTTAGACAACAACTTTCACTTGCACCGGTGTATGAGTCTCAATTTTTTTTGGATAAATAATCAAACTTTTATTATAAAGAATATAAAAAGAAAACCCATGAAAGGGTCCAAATCAAACCCTTCAAAAAATCTACAAAAATCAAGACTTTAGGATCAAGTGAACCCGCAACCCAATCATAATTAATGTTATGTTGGTTTGTTTCATTTTGTTTTTATTTAGGCTTTATTTATTTGGTCTTAAAACATTTTTACATCACACTTACATTTATCTATTGAAAAGTTAAAACTGTAATTACCATAGTTTATAATGGTAAGAGTATTGAAGTTGTAGTCCTGGTCGTGCGCATACCAGGTCGTCTAGGCTGCATCCCTAGCCGCGAGCATATAGGGTTGCCATGCCGCCTAGGGCATAGTTCAGGCTGTGCGCATGCCAAGCTACCATGCGCGTAGCTTGGACGGCCTAGCCTGGGTGCCAATGATGGTTGGCATGTGCACGACCAGGGCTGTGATCTCAACTGTGATTGCTACATCATTCGTGTTTAATTCTACATGAAAATATATAATATAATTTTCCTTTGTTATATTTTTAAGTGTTAATAACTCCACTGGAGTTGTTAATAACTCCGCCGGCCCCAAGCCTGGGTTAAGGAGGAGGGTTATGCGTTAGATAGCCGACAGACAACACGTAAAAAGCCCCTTGGATCCCTTATGACAATGAATCCTACTTTGAATCGTTTAAATGCTAGGTCGTTCCCCTTAAGTGACGCGTTGCGCCTGCCTCCGGGTGTTTCGAAAAGTGAGCAAGGGGCGCCGTATCGACCCCTGGGTGCAGTGAAAAATGGGGCAAAGGTTCTCGTGTTTTTCTAGACAGGCGCGGGTAAAGAAGCTAGTCCAAGACTGTAACGTCCTAAAAAATAAACCCATCATAGCATACATTCACGATAAATAAAAGAGTTCTCATATTATAACCATTAGAGTATTCTTATAAAAGGTATTACATGTTGACAATAAAAGTAAACGCCCTATAAGCTTACAACTTTCCAAGTCAGCACTTGGTTACAAAAAGAGAGTACTAACTCTGCACAAATAAGCCCTTGGCTTGATATACATGTAATACAACCAAAAACAACAAAAAAGGGTCTACAGCCTCAAGCCTCCCAAGCTACGTCCTTGGAGGTGGCATAACACCTGTACCTGAAAATGATGTCCCATATAGGGTGAGCTAACGCCTAGTAGAGATATGCTAAACATAGCATGAGCAATAACTAAAACATTAGTATTTGATAAATGTTTAACTTAACAAAACTCAACTTATAAGCATGGCTCAGAACCTGGCCAAATAACAGAAGTGAGACTACAACTCATGCCAACAATACTACAAACTGCCATTTTACGGAAATTACGTCCACGGGATTCGACACCCATGTATTCTCATTCTCTTATGGCCATTTTACAGATATTTCATCCGCGGGACTCGGCACCCATGTATAGATATATTCGGATTGCCATTTTACGGAAATTACGTCCACGGGATTCGACACCCATGTATAATTATATTCAAATGGCCATTTTATGGAAGTTTCATCCGCGGGATTCGGCACCCATGTATTCAAATACACAACTTGATTAGTTTCAATTCACCTAATCATCATGCAATCTTATATTCTTATATTTTATATATATATATATATATATAAAATAAGAAAGAAAGAAAGAAAGAAAGAAAAAATTAAAAAAAAAAAAAATTGAAACCGGTCCGGTTCGATCAACCCGTGACCGGGTCGACCGGTTCACCGGTTTAACCGGTGGGTTCACCGGTTTTCAAAAAATAGGCCGGTTTTTACAGTTGGCCGGTTTAAGGGGTCCGGTCCGGTTTTTAAAACCATGCATCAGAGTATTCTTACAAAATGTATTGCATGTTGACAATAAAAGTAAACGCCCTATAGGCTTACAACTTTCCAAGTCAATACTTGGTTACAAAAAGAGAGTACTAACTCTGCACAAATAAGCCCTTGGCTTGATATACATGTAATACAACCAAAAACAACAAAAAAGGGTCTACAGTCTCAAGCCTCCCAAGTTACGTCCTTGGAGGTGGCATAATACTTGTACTTGAAAATGATGTCCTATATAGGGTGAGCTAACGCCCAGTAGAGATATGCTAAACATAACATGAGCAATAACTAAAACATTAGCACTTGACAAATGTTTAACTTAACAAAACTCAACTTATAAACATGGCTCAGAACCTGGCCAAATAACAGAAGTGAGACTACAACTCATGCCAACAATACTACAAACTGCCATTTTACGGAAATTGCGTCTGCGGGATTCGGCACCCATGTATTCTCATTCTCTTATGGCCATTTTACGGATATTTCATCTTCGGGACTCGGCACCCATGTATAGATATATTCGGATTGC